TGTGTGTGTGTGTGTGTGTGTGTGTGTGTGTGTGTGTGTGTGTGTGTTACGAATGACGAAAAATATGTAGACGCGCGCGACAGATGCGATTTTGTCGACACAAACACACAGCACAGCAGAGGAAAAAAAGTCGACCAAAGAACCAACGAACATCGAAAAATCATATGCATTCACAGTGTTCCTGTGCGCGTGTTTTTTTCTTCCTTTTTGAACTTTACTTTTGGTATTCCATTCGTCAATCATCTTCTTAGAAAATGTTCAATGCCTCCGTTGAATTTTTGTCGCCGATTAGGGCGACTGATGGCGCTCATCCACTTTTCCATCGTCGCACACACAAACATACACAGTACAAACAGTATTGTGATCGTCGAATAGGATCGTCGCAAACGCTGAATTCATTTTGTGGACATGCGACGAACCGTTCGAATGTTATCACTTTTCATTTTTTGAATAATATTTATCGATGAACGGAAAATTTCTCAGCATGAAGAAACAATATATTAGGATTGAATCAATAAAAGACAATTCCTCCAGTTTCGTCTCAATCTTTGTTGCATCGCTTTCGGAAGCAGTTGGTTATTCGATAGTTCATGACCTCACGTGACTTTGTTTCCCTTCTTTTTTACTGTGGGAAGAGCGCATCGCAACACAATGCCAGCACAGACGCAAACACACAACGTCGTAAGGAAGAAGTACAAAGTTAAAAAGATGCAAAGTAACGGGGCTGCAGGCTTTCAAATTGAATTTTCATCGAAAACGCATTGAATGTTGGCCACAACGTAAAAAAACGATTTTTTTTTCGTAAACCACATTCAAATTAAAATAAACGTTACGATTTTTGCACGTTTGTTGTTTGCGCCGCCGAAAAACCGCAAAACTGTTTCAAATTTGACACTATTAGTTGTATGCGGAACGTTTTCATTACGCAAGTTTGGTCCATCGTTAACAGTTTTCGGCAACAGATATTCACCTGAAAACAGTGATCATTTCGTTTTTCTTCTTCATTTGAATGGAATTGATTGTTCGTGGTTTCAGTTGATGCTTTTTTCCATCGTTCAGAGGGAGAGAAGTGCTTCTAAATGTATGTGAATTTTCTGCACGTACAAAAAACTGTGGAGAATTAAGTATCGAGAGAATGTATTCATTAAAAAGTTTGTTTTTTTTCTCGTTTTTTTTCTCGTTTTTTTTCTCGTTTTTTTTACTCTCGAACGGCCAAACAGCCAAAATAGTTAAATTGTAACCAAAGACGTGAAGCCATTTCACATACACGTACATATTTCACACGAAGCAAATAGCTGGGCTGGCAATCAAACATTCGAACTCGGGGCCGGAAGTATTTGACATTTATTTTTAGAAAATTAGAGTTCAAATATGCATTATTGACTGTTAATATTGGATAAGTATTTTTGGTACGGCTCATTTTCCTTTCCGTTTATCGACTCAAATCGTTGGAAACAGTTACACACATTTTTATGTCATGTTTGTAGCGTTGTTTTTTCAATAAATAGGATGTTTTTAATGGGCGCAAAAGGTACAGCCATCTAAACGTGTATTGGTGTATGTATGTGTACATAGGATACGTTTTTTTCCTTCTTTTTCTTCGTTTTGTTCCTTTGAACGCTACCTTTGAAAATCTATACACTCATAATGTGCATGGAATTTGATACTTTTTATAATGTTGTCTAATAACCGAATGTGAAATGCAGACGAACACACCGCACCGCCAAATGCCACATGCAATCGAATGCTCAAACTGACAAATGCTCTGACGTTTTCTTTTGGTAATTTAATTTTTCGGGAAATTCTAGGTAAAATTGACGTGATCATGACGATGATGGGGCGCACTATTTGACGACGGGTCAACCGTTTGCAATCGACCGATTTCATCATGGCATCGCCATTGTCACTTTGTTTGCCACCGAATGGATCAGACACTAAGCCGACTGAATGGCAGAGAGAGAAGGAGAGCGCGATGAATCGCCGCAAAAAGTGCATTGCAGTGTAATGCAAGCAGTATTAAATGTAAATACACACAATGTGCACACGGCGCACCACAGCGCACGAAAGAGAGTCAGCGAACGTGCGAGTGAGCCAGAGCAACAAAGCTACTCAACATAAATACAGCGAAGAAATAATTCAGTTATGTACGGTGCACATAAATTTTATCCAATTCTCGTACCACCTGCTCATCTGTTATGTCTCTTCTAACTAAGTGTATTCCCGATATGCGCGGTCTCGTTGCATTCGAAAAATTCCAATCGCATCGCCGTTTACCGATACCACTGGACTCTCTTTCGTTTGCCGTACACACAGC